CTTGCCAAGGAAGCCCTTTTTCCATTGAGCCATCTCCCCAGCCCACAAGTGAATATTTAGTGAACATAAATTCAACTGATCTGCATAACAGAATGGTTCACACCAGGAAAAAAAAAACCTATTTCATTTCATGCCCATGCTGCATTACATTTACATTATGCTCCTTAAAGAATTTTAAAGAAACCTTAACACATGATTCCTACACTCAGAATGCATTCACCTAGATATGCCCTAGCTCCCCAACAGAGATTGTCCATTTTCCTCACTCTCATTGTCCATTTTCTTCACTTTCACCTTTGAATTGAAGTCATAATTCAGACAATTTTGCAGCAAGGAACATTCAGATAAAGCTATTTTTTAAAAAGAATCTTAAGTGCTTTACAGATAATACATTATAGTGAGCCTAAGAATGTGAAGGGTAGAAAGCAGAAGACCATGTATCAACTGCTCCTTGGCAATTGCGGGGCTTTTCCATGCTAGAAAATAACAATTTCTTACTCTTGTTTCATTTCTTGTAATGCTGCACCCTGAGCTTGGCACAGATCTTTATGGAAGATGAATTTGTCAGCAGAAAAAGGTGGGGAGATGTATGTTTCATCCACCAGCAGACTGCTAAGGCATGGCCTTCTGTTGGCGTAGGAAGAATTGCAGCAACGGCCCACTCCAGGGTTCACAGGGCTTGCTTCATGTCTGATACACAACTGCCCAATAATGAGGTCAGCCTAATTAAGATGGAGAGAACACAGGAGATGCACATTTGCCACAAGTTGGTTTAGATTTCCAGAAGTCTTTTGTGATAATTTAATGTTTAGCAAGTTATAATTACTATTATAGGAAACATTGCTGTCTGTAGGAACACTCATGTGTTACCGTATTGAAGATCCCTGAGTTTCCACATTTGCTTGGAAGGAACATTAGCAATAGATGCTACAGATACAGTGCTAAGGATGGCCCTTTCGCCATTTGTGTCAGCTATTTGAAACAAGCTTCCAGTTGCTTACTTATTTCCAAATACAGGAAAAGTTTCTGCCTGGCCTATGAAAATCAAGGGCTTCTTTTCTGTGTATGAGGTTCAACTTTTTTTAAGAGGCTAAAAAATAGTAAAAAGAAAAGGGTTAGAAACTCAGAGATTCACTACCTGAATCTAACGATGGTCCCTATCTATCTATCTATCTATCTATCTATCTATCATCTATCTATACATACATACATTCATACATAGATCTAGTAGAAAAGAAATAGAGCCAATGTGTGAGTGTCTTTAAGGTATTTTAAATAGGTTTCTTCCACCTTCCACATTTAAAGATATCTCTTAAATACCTAGCAGTAACTTTTGATAAACACTAACACATTTTGTGTGCACACTATGTATCAAGCCAATGTTGCATGAATTATTCAGATTATTTGAAGACAGTTGAGGATGGGACAACTTTCACTTTTTGATGTCAGATAAAGTAGCTCAAGCTTGATGACAGCTAGTGTCCTGTCCCATGTGATGTGACTAGTAAGTGGAGAAAGTAGCTTGGGGACACAGCAAGGTGGGCTCTGGGGCCTGTTCTCCTGCATCATCACACTCACACTGAGACACACAAGCTAGTCGAAAGAGTTGTGACTCTTAACCACAGGAAACTGTCATATGACTCTTAACATTTTCTTTTCTTTTCTTTTTTTTTTTTTTTTTTTTTGTGGAACCAGGGATTGAACTCAGGCCCTTGTGCTTGCCAGGGAAGTACTTATTCCACTGAGCCATCTCCCCAGCCCTCACTCTTAACATTTTGAGAACAGTTCTGAGATATAAAGACTATCTATCCAGTCATCAAAATCAGGACAAGGGTTGAAATAATCAATTTTGTTCATAACAGTGACTCTAAGGGAAGGTGAAATTTAAAAATTCAATCTGCACTCAGAGTGACAAGGAAATAAAGATTATTAGAATTGCTGAGTGGAAAGTCATCTCACTATCCACAAGGTGGGGCTTACTCTGTTGCAACCCCTACACCCTGTCTAAAGGAAAATTGTTCCCAGCTATAAGATTATATACAAATGAAAAAACCTGAGTGACCAATTTTAATCTGTCAAAAATTAAGCTTGTTCTCTTTTCTAACATTAAATTGTGTATTTAGTGAAAAAGTAAATGAGATCGTGGAATTAATAACACAATGGTCATTCCACCTCTGCTATCATGCAGGCCTCATGCAGATGCTGTTGAATTACCTGACTGTGTTTCCCACTGTCCAGGACAGGAGGCCCAGCTATACATCATTCATGCCTGAGTTCTCCTGATCGCTGTCACCATGACTCACTGTCAAGCCAAAACTCCACCTCCACTTTGGCACAAAGGAGACAGGACTAAGGAACACAGCCACTCACCGCTCCTTCCCCACAAGCCAACTGCTTCTCCCCACTGAGTTGGCAACATGTGGCTGCTGTGGTCACCATTTTCCTGGTGAAGGCCATCAGTTCAGATGAGGTCAGCTGAGGGGCTTTCTTCGTGTAAGCAACAAGAAATCTGAAAGAAGCATTTCCCAAAGTCCTGCTGAGCCATTCATGAGTTTCTTGACCCTTGTCATCCTCAGGCCCATTCTGGTGTCAAAAGACACAAAGCATTTGCACCAGGCTTTGAGATGTGACTCCTCTTAGTCATGCCTTCTATGCCTATCACCCAGTCTGTCCTGATGAGGAGGCAAAGAGGCCAACCTTAACTTCCAGCCTCAGTGTCTGTGATCTCCTGCTGTTTTGACTCTGACAAGTCATGGCAGAGTGGACACCCTCACTGGAAAAATCTTCAGGGTTTGGGGACTCTGCAGCCAGTTCTGCAGACAGGCTGTACAAGCTTTCTTTGCCATTGCTACAAGGAAGAAGGGGGATGTGACCTTCTCTGGGGGACATCCAAGTCATCAGATTTCTGACCTCCACCCAGGAGGGGCTAAAACAGAAGAAACCATTGTTCTCTACTTTAGATTTATATCTCCCCTGTTAACAATAGCAAGTCACTGAAAAGCTGTTAAAGGACATACGCGTTTTGCAGGTGATACTCGCCGAGTTTCTGGAAAAGGCCACAGCTTCGGGTCGCCATTGCCTGGCTCTCCTGGACGTACTTCTGCAGCTCTTGCTCCTGAAACACAGTGTTATTACAAATATTTTTCCCTCTTTGTGATCATATAACTTTGAATATAAAATCAATCAATCTTTTTATTGAATCATGAAACCACTCTTAGAGGTTTCCTAAGTATTAAAGATAGTAAAGCATGAATTTTGAAAATTACAGTAAATGGACACTAAATTTAAAATTTTGGGAATCATCAAAATTGTTTAGGGGCAGAACTCAATTTCATAATAAAAGGCAACAGTTCTTTCTGAACAAAATTGTTGTCTCTCTGAAGCTGGCCAAAAACAAGTATTTATTTTGTGCATCAAAAAACTTTTTGGTCAACATTTTTATTTCTTTGTAAGTCATTAATGGCCAATTGATAATGAATAACTACTTAACATATAGGTTACCAATTCACAGATATAACTAGCTAACTATTTGGTTATAACTGGATGCTTTCAAATCATTTATTTATTTGTTTGTTGACTGATTGTTTTACTAGGGACAGAACCCAGTCCCTCACACACAATAGACCAAGACTCAAGTACTGAGCTATCCCTTCCAGCCCAATTAGTGCTTTTAGAGGATGATTATTCATTTAGTTTGTCAAATTCTTCCAAAAATTCCAGAGCAACTTACCCCTTTATCCTGGCATGCAAGAGGATTTTCCGATTGGACACACTTCTCCAGTAGCTCATGGTATCCATTAGCAACTCTTAGTATTATTGAGACAGCAAGCTCAGTATGTCTTCGTGAATATTCATGAATAAAACTAAAATTTGTGTATAAAAGTATTATAAGTTATTGGGATTCAGACAAAATGAATATATGTACAGAGAGAAAAAGGGAGAAGTTAAAAATAGTTATCAATATATTGGTATATAAATCAATAAATATTATCAATATTTATTTATCAAATAAATAAAGCTGGACATCAAATATAATTTGAATTCTATAAATAGCAAAACTATCAATACAAGCCATAGTTGCTCAAATTGTCTACAAAATGGTATTTTATTTCCTCTTGCATCACACTTTGGCTTTTAAATTGTGGAGTTTATGTACATTTATTTGACAAATACATCTTGCAGTGTTTACCTTATGCTAATGTTGCTTGAAGGAACCTGTGCATTTAAGGTGAAATGCCTGCCCTCTGCAGGCTCATGTTAGGGAGACAAAATCAAGTAAGCAAGACAGAGTTCGTGCTTCTTGGGCAGAGATAAATCAATGAATAGGAATAAAGAAAGAGAGAAAAGGTGGCCCAAAGTGGAAGGGCCACTAATTTAATATGTGGTCAAGAGAAGCTGCTCTGGATGGCTCACCTGGCACAGAAGTCTGAGACCAGAGCCTCTGAGAAGAAGTGCGTGTATCAACCAAACACCTTTAGATGTGTATGGATATGTAATCTTAAAGGTCAGTCTTGAGTTTACTAATTGTATTTCCAAGTTATAGAAATTAGTTGCATTTATTTTTATTTATTTATTTATTTTTTCCGGAACTGGGGATTGAACTCAGTAGTTGCATTTAGTTTTACCACCAATGAAATGTCAGTGTGTGTCTCTCAAATCTGGTCTTTGTTTCAGTCTCTGTAATTTTATTTATCAGTGCCAACAAGGTATAGTGAATGTCTAATTTTAATGCAACAAAAGTAATATCTTCAGCAAACATTAAAAAGAAAATTAGACCAACATTTTCATCAGACTCTTAGAATGAAAAAGATTCTTGGAGAGCTTTAAGTATAATGTTCTCATAGCTACATATGTTCTTCCGCTATACTGTTCATGGCCACATATAATAAAGGAAAGTGTATTAACTTGACTACTTGCTTCTCTTAAAGGGAAATAGAATAAGCACATAGCCTACCAATTATATTACACAATACTACTGGTTTTGTTTATTTATTTGATGGTTTGTAATTGAGGCAAGGTCTTACTATGTAGTTCAGACCGTTCTTGAACTCACTACACAGCCCAAACTGCTGGCCTCAAATTCATGGTGCCTCTGCCTCCTGAGTGCTGGGATTACAGGTGTGCTTTACCATGGATAGTTTAAATTATTGTTCTGCAAATGTTTCTAAACATTTTTATTTTCTTCAATAAACAAAATATATTCAATAAATAGAAAATACATTGCTCCAGTAAAAGACCTTCTATCTAGCATTATCTATTGAGATATATTTTGGAGAAACCTTTCTAAACATGTATAGTAAAAGAGCAAATTCTTAATCACGAGCACATCTCAGTGTAAAATATCTATAATCTATTTGAAAGTGTAATGGTGACTTTCATAGGACTAACCAACACAAGGTGACAATAGTTATTATTCCAGAGACATTGGCATAGATAAAACATATCTTCCTAAGTATGCAGCAGTGAAAGCCTACTTGCTGTAAGGTGGGTTGCATCTCCTGTCCTTAGTTGTCCCCTGGATCCAGTTAGCTCAGGCCGGGAGCTGAACACCCTCACATGATCAGCTGAGACCCTTGGCCCTCAGCTCCCCTTTCTCAGGCTCAGAAACACAGGTCACCCGGAGAGCAGCCTCACCTGGCCAAGAACATCGTTTTCTCCTCCGGGGAGAAGCGGCCAAAATCCCTGTCCCCTAGGAACCTGACCAGCTCCAGGGAGAGCCCTTCGGGCATCTCGCCATTTTCCGCGTGGATTATGCAGTGGCCGAGCTCAAGGATGGGAAGTTTACAGCATTCTGCTATTTTGCTGGACAGAATGTCTTGCTTCGAACAGATATACGACATTATTTTCTCCTGTCGTGGAAAAACAAAGTATGAATGTTAAGGCTTATTCTCCAAGATAGAGCCTAGCATTTTGGGAGGCAAAGCCTGTGCCAAAGAGCGCTCTCCTCTCTCACGTTTCCTCTCCATTCTGGTCACTAACAGCTCTAGCCTGTCTAACAGTTTTTGGCTAAACTCTAACCTTTTAACAAGAGGCAAGCATGCTGCCTGGTCAATCTACCCAGGCCCATAGTCCTGGCGCCTTGCGCCAAGCAGCCCACAATGCCCACCAGTCTCTCAGAGGGAGCGGGCTACAGGCAACCTCGCAGGACCCATGGCCACACCATCTGCAGCCCGGGTGCCCAGGAGGGAAAGGCCAGTGGGACAGCCTTACTTCACCACTCAGAAGTCCATCCCTTCCCTCGGTGGCCGCCGGTCGGGAGCCCACCCCGGGTAGAGATTTTTCTGTTGAGTCTGAGAAGAAGGAAAGGAGGCAGGCGGCCCCACGCCGCCAGCCACTCTCTCACCCCGTCCTGCAGGCACTCCAGCGCGTTTCCCCGGCAGCACTCCTCGTGCGTGTGCACCACGTCCAGCACCAGCTTCTGCATTTCAGAAAAAGTCGCTTTCGGGAACTTCTGGCTCAGTTTAGTGATAGTTCTGGGAGGGGGGATTTAAAAATTAATCTGGGTTATCTCTCAAAGCGCAGCCGCATTGCATCAGTACAGTTAGAGCGCCAAATAGAAAGAACTAAAATGTGGTGGTTTTTAAAACGGAAGGAAATGTGTCCTAGGTCTTGGACATTTTTGCTGGCTTTTTAAGGTCAGTAGTTCCGTGAATTGCCACCCAAGGCCAAAAATAGTTTGAAAGTAATTTGTTCTTAAAGTTTCCTTGGGAATTGAGGTGAATTCTGTCTTTGTGTTGTTCATCTTCGCTAAGCATTTGGATCCCTGTGGTAAGTGGACAGACATTCGAAAGGGTACACAAGTAAGAAATAGAAAATTCCCTGAGAATGATTATCATTGTTCGCTTGGGAGCAAAAACTACTTTTGGGACTCTAGAGCAGGTGATGTGTGATAGTCAGTGAATTGGAAGAAGAAAGACAACGGCCTGAACATTCCTGACATGTCATCGCGCAAGACACGCAGAGTGCAGGATGGGAGGTGAGAAGCAAAAGTTCTGGCTCCTGCTCCTACTCGGTTAGAGCTTAAGAGCTGCGCGGGAAGCTGCTGCTCGCTGGCTCGAGCAGCTCTGGTGTTTCCGCTGCTGACGAATACGGATTCTCTTTAGCAGCTTAGGACATTTGACCTAAAGGTAAATTTTAAAGTCACTCTACTCAGACGTTAACTTCTATTTTATTACTAGGCTAAACTTAAAGTAGTTCATTTATCAGCCTTTTAAAATTTCTATTAGCTTTGGAAGGTAGCTAACAGATAAATCTGAGCTCTTCCAGGAAGCAACTTTACTCAGTATTTGGAACTGACTTACTGGTTGTCCACTGTGTACAATGTTTTAATACATCATTTAACAAACTCTGCATGCATATACTGATGTTTCCCTGCACTGAAATATTTTATCATAAAAGGGTAAATTAGTACTATAAACTAATTATATAGTTCAAATTTTTCTCCTCACCAGGAAATAAATCCCAATACTACTGTCTCAAAGGAAAATTTTTAGAGGGAACAACAGTGGACACAGTGAACCTTATGGCAGGGGAGGGAGCACACTTAACATAAAGAATTGCTTGTTAAATTACACATTGTAAATGATTTTCAACGAAGGTCGACCTGCTTTGCAGAGGACCTATGAAACATGGTCTTACGAGGAGGTGTAGTTTGACTGTGGGAGGAACTTACAATAGTAGGCAGCTATTATAAATTAAAATTCCTAAGATTCTTTTTCATGTACTAGCTGAGTGAGGCTTTGGGAAGCTTTAATAACAGAATAGTCTGTTAGATTTCTTCTAGTCAGAGCTAATCACAATAACCTTCACGAAAGGCTGAAGTCTGCACAACAGCAGCCCTGGGAAGAGGAATCTGAGTCCCCAGAGAGTATTTTACAGATGTTAGCCATCTCTCTAGCTAAAGCTTGGGCTTACATGGCTTGAAAAGTGCGGGGTCCAAAATTTCTCATCACTGCACATACATGTTGATTTAATAAGCTGCTTTCTCTTAAGTCTTTTTCAATTGGTGCAGCCTAGAAGTAGAAGAAATAAAGTGTTAAGAAAGCTTGCATTTTATAAACTACAATACTGAGGAAACACAAGTGTAAGTAAAACATAAAACTCCATAAAATGTTTTTAAGCTAAAGTTATGTCATATACTTCTGCAGAACATCATTTATTCATTCATTTTTGAGTTCAGTTTATATGTATCCATGCAAGACAGATTTATTAAAAATATCTCAAAGCAGAACATTTTGAAATTGTGACTATATGGTTATGCTTTTACACACTTTTAAGATACATGGAAGCTTGCTGATGTCTGCTCAGTTACAAAAAGCAAGATTACATCACAATCTGACGTTGAGAACAGTCACAATGCTTAGGCAATTTTTGTGAGAACTTTGGGGCAAATAGTTCATTGTGATTATAATGCTAGCTACCTAAGAAAGCTATTTTCTTCTCTAAACCTAAGTTTGCTCATTTATTAAATGACAATAATACACCCAAAATTTATTCAAAGAACTAAAATGATAATGAATATAAAGCCTTCACCACAGTTCTCATAGGAACAGTGTAAACATTTTTTTCCTTTCCCTTCTCTTCTCCTCCTTTCTCCTCACTTCCAATCACATGATCTCTTTTCCTGTCTTTTCTTCTTTATCCCACCAAACTCACTTCCTTAATACTAATTTTTGACTGAATAAATGAATAAATTAAAACCAGCAAATTCAATTTTTCACACAAAGAATATCAGGCCTCTAAGTACACTCTGTTCTGAAAGTGACTCCCTTCACATAAAGCATATTTCCATTTTTAACCCTGGTCTCACTGAGTCACAGCTAGACCAGATATTGGTTGAGATGCTCATATAGCATAATACCTCTACTTGGAAGCATTCAGCTGCATTTTCAGCTTTGCAACAGGATGGAAATATTTTGTCATAGCGGGCAGCCAGAGAGAGAGCAGTAGGTGGGTATAGGAAGGGATGTCTCCTGGATATCTCGTAGATGTATCTGTGAAGTGAAGAGAACCACAGGGTTGCAAACTTCAGAGCAACCAGACCACTGCTGCTTGGAGGTGGGCTCTGGAATTTACAGATTCAGGTAAGAGCAACAGCAATAAATTGCACATTTTTTTACTGTGCATTTTAGGGGAGCGCAGTTCTATTTTTTCAGATGCTGTCAAGAAAATGCTGACTAAAGCTCTTCAGGGAGATGAAAGAGCTAACACATGATTTTATTATGAAGAAGTAGGCAGGAATGCCATGATTCTTATTAAATGATTTTTCCACTAAGTCTTCTCAGACTTGTTGAGGAATCCACAAGGCCATACTTAAATTAAGTAGAACACAGTCTTGGACTCTTTTTTACTATGTAAATGCACAATGGAATTAGCCTCCCTGGCTCTCTCTAAATGCAGGTTTCCCTGACAGAAAATATGGGTTCAAATGGACAGGCAGTGTGTTCTCGCTCTATGGTCTTACCTGTTTAGACTGCAACTTCCTCAGTAATGCAATGAGAAAAGGAAGAACAAGGAAGAGGAAGCAATATCAAAAGTTGCTGGTGATCATTAATCCAACCCTTGGAGCCACGTACATTTGCTATTATAACATCCTAGATACTTAATATCTTAGCCTTGTTTATCCATCTAAATTGTGCCTGTCTTTATTTTTTTTTAATTTTTATGAGGGGCCAGGGAGATAGCTCAGTAGAATAAGTGCTTGCCTGGCAAGCGCAAGGGCCTGAGTTCAATCCTGGGTTCCGAAGGGAAAAGAAAAAAAGTTTTAAATTTCTAGGCAATTCAGTGAACAGGATCCATCAATATTTGGCTCTACATGGAGTTACTTTGAGCAAAATGAATATATTCTTGAACAAGGTAAAATTGAGTGAAAACCAGCCGTGTGTGCTCCAAGACCACAGGCAGAGGCACTAGGTCATGTGTGAGTCCTGGCCGCATCTGACTGTGTATAGACAGTGCACTTAAAGTCGTTCTCCTAAGTGCTTTACACAGGCTTTCACAGATACAACCCCAAGCATTATTCTGACTTCTTCAAACTTTGTAGTATACTCTAAACTGCAAAAATACTACATTCTACTTTGTATGGCTCCCATTCTGGGGTTTTCCTTACTTGTTTATGAATGTCTCCCTGTTTTCTTCATGTGCCTTGCAGCTAATGGCCATGTCTGGAACTTGCAAGGGTGCAATGAACGCCGGAGCTGCCCTTTTGCGTGCAAGTAGGCACGCGTGCCTTTCCTCCTCACTGCGGCTGCAGCAGTCCACGAGGCCGTATTTCTCCTGAATTGCCTTCTCATGGCAGATTTCTTCTAGAAAGGCGGATAACTGTAAGAAAGCTCTTACTTTTAGTAACAATAATCAACATATCTTATTTTTTTTTTTTTTGTGGAGCCGGGGATTGAACTCAGGCCCTTGCACTTGCCAGAGAAGCACTTATTCCACTGAGCTATCTCCCCAGCCCCTCCATATCTTAAAAATTCTGTAAAACACATGAAGAGTCTTCTACTACTCAAACTTAGAAGAAAAAAAAAGTTTTCCAATATAATTTCAATATATTTAGGGTCAAATTGGTAACACAGAGTTCTTGCCTTCCTTCTGGGAAATGGAATTTTAGTTTTCAAACGAGTAATAAGCATGAGTATTAGACAGATTTATTTTATTTTAAATAGAAAAGGTCATGAAATACTTTGTTTCACTCTCTCTCAATTTTGAGTTATTTTACTTTTTCCTTTTATGTTTTCAACAATTTGGACCCAGGATATTTGTTTTCTTTTTGTATAAGCCACATTTCAGAAGAAAATATTTATTCCAAGTGGCTTTCTTATGACAAAACATTGGTTCAGAATTGGACATTATGTTTGGTTAAAAATAAAAACAATTTCAAGATGGGATAAAATGGCAATACTTTTCATTTGTCACAATTATAGATTTAGTTAAAATGTATATGCTTCCTTCTGTGTTTTTTGTTTTTGTATTTTAGGGAAAGGCCTACAGAGTGTTCGGGGGTCTCACTATTAGATCAGACTCATAGTGAGCTGCCTGTTTACAGCCTCCCAAGAGCTGGGATAACAGGCATGCACCAACGTGCCCATGTCAATCGCTGTCTCAGCACGCCCTGGGGGCAGAGCCAGCACTACAGACCCCGGGGTGGCACCTGCTTGCAAGTGCTTTAATCCTATGCTTCCTTCTTTGTAACCTTAATTTTATTAAAATCAGATAAGGATGCCACTGTTTTAAAGAAGGCCCCGATACCTGTGTTTCATTGATCTCATAAAAGTAAAATCTTAAGAATTCTGTGTGCCTGTGTCTGGTGATCCAAGCAACTACTTTGAAGACAACAACATGCAATGTAATGATGATTATTAATTTTTATCATCGTGTTTTGAAATCTGTATTATTCATAATTTTTAAATCCTATTTAAAATAAAAACAAATTCTAAATCCCAATCCACATTAAGAAAAAAAAACCTTTACAATGATAAATCACCAATCTGTAGCATGTCCTTGCCCCTCTAATTGGACATAAAGCTGCAATTAGTAAAATATTCTGCATTATTTATGTATACAGTTGTAAAAGATTATCAGAGAAAAACATAAATGTAGAAAAACTCCAATACAAGAGTTTTTGTTAATTCAGAAATTTCAGAGTTGGAATGCACTTTATATCTTAAAAAGCATCTCTTTGAGAGTGGCTCAGACACATTTCAGCCATGTGGATTCTCTAGACACTCCACTCCATAGGTGGATAGCTCTACTCAATAGAAGGGTCATTTCTATACTGAGATAAAATAAACAACAATAGCTATTTATTGAGCTTCTGTAGTGAGACAACTTTATAGCAAAAACAAAAAAGTATTCATTGTTTATCTGACCTGAGAATTGTTAAGTGCAGTGATTCATGCCTGCAATTCAAGCTGTTTGGGAAGCTGAGGAAGGTAATTTGTAGCTCTGTCTTAAAATAAAATATTCTGAAAAGGGATATGTCCTGGGTATATAGTTCAGCGGCAGAGTACTTGCCTAGCATGTGCGAGGCCCTTTCAATCCACCGCACTGCTAACATAAAAGAAACTAAGATTTAGATTTAACAGAGGATTAGTTTTTCATATTAACATTACTTCACTAAATCTGGCAAGCCTAAATCTGTGTGCTATGCCTCACATTTGCTGTTGTGTAATAAAGCTACTCAGTACATTGACACTGGAGCCAGCTGGCTTGGTTTAAACCTCAGTTGTTATTTTGTCCTTAAGGAAGTTTACCACTCTGTCACCTTCCTCAACTGGAATATTATCATCAAACTCCTAAAATTATTATAAATATTTAATAAGCTAATATTTGTAAGCAAAGTTGAATTCTGCCAGAAAAAAACTAGCCAAAGCCTCCTGACTCACTGATAAACATTCCAAATCCTCAGTGCTATGTAAGATAACTTGATTATCAGTGTGTCTCTAGTCATCCCTAGCAGAATGCCAACCACACTGTGTGCTAGATAAATTAACTGCTTCTGCTATTATTATACCAATGTCCATGGCAGGTTTGAATTGGATTTAGGATTAGCCCTGATGTCATGGAAGAACACTGAAGCTTAAAGAAGTAGCATGTGCAGCGCCATGTGGATAATCATGTTCCTGAACACTGGCTCTTGGTCACCATCTGGTTACAAGAGCCACCACTTGTTTCTTCTGCATTCTCCAATAACTCCAAATTATTCAAACTCTCCTATTCCACAGAAACTCTCTAGGTACTCAAATTCATGCCTTGCCTGGACCTTGTCATCAGCATGCTAAATTTGGGTAAGGGGCCAGGAAAATAGCTCAGTAGATTAAAGCGCCTGCAAGCAGTTGCAGAGGCCAGGGGTTCAATCCCCAGATCTGCAATGCCGGCCCCACCCCCAGGGTGCACTGAGACAGCAATTGAGACTGGGCATGGTGGTGCACATCTGTAATCCCAGCTCTCGGGAGGCTGTAAACTGGCTGATCACTACAAGTTTGATCTAGTAGTGAGGCTCTGAACACCCTGTAGACCCTTCCCTAAAAATACAATAAAATAATAAATAAATAAATAAATAAATAAATAAGTAAATAAATAAATGATTTTTGGGTAAGTGTCAAGGTGCATTTTACTTTTCATTCACTCACCTGGTTTTCTAAACATTCTTCAGACTGCTTGCTTCCAGCAGGCTTCTTGATTACAGTCAATACATCAGTCACCATTTTTTTAACTTCCTCATAAGTGGCTTCTTGAACAAATTGGGCAAAGGATATGGTAGCTCTGAAAGAAAAATGCATGAATTCTTGAGGCACAAATTCATATCAAGTTTATTTTTCTGAAGTCTAGTTCTGTGTGTTTTGTTTTCTGTTTATGTTCTAACTTGTTTAGGGAGTGACCTATTCTAAAAATAGAGTCTAGTCCTCCCAAAAGAAATGTTATTCCTTTTGGAGGAGAGGGCTCTTTCCCTATGAATATGAATATAGCTATTAAAATTAAAAATATGTTAATTTCACAAAAGAATGGTTTCACTTTTTCAGTAATCCATTCTTGTAACATACCCATAATTACATTATTTACAAATTTCTTTTTTAGTTTAAGCAAAGTCTTAGTCATTAAACCCCCACCTCGATCTATCTCCCAGTATGATGGAGTTCCACTCTGCAATGACATTATCCACACAGGACTCAAACCACTGTTTACACAGGTTCCTGCATGAAAGCAGGAGTAGCAACACATTCCATTAGGTTTTCTGTTAGAAATTTCAGAAATGTGGCATGAAGCAACAGCACTCAAGAGCAAACTTTTCTCTTCAGAAAATAACAAAATAGAATATTTTATTCCTATAGTTTACTATTAAGATTTAAACAATGGGGGCTGGGGAGATGGCTCAGTGGAATAAGCGCTTCCCTGGCAAGCTCAAATGCCTGAGTTCGATCCCTGGTTCCACAAAAAATAGAATAAAGAGCACTATATTATAATCCTATTGGTATTGATGGGAAAATTCCTAAATTCATATAGTTGTCAGTAATAAAAATCTTATTTAGTTTACTGCATGGAATTCCAAGTAATCTAGAATTTTTAATATCTAAGGCACTGACCAATATCAATTTTCTTCAATAGCAATTTGATATTAAATAACTTTTTTTTGAAATTTTCCTATTAGCCTTTGTTATCCAAAAACTTGTAGAACTATCCAATCTCACTTAATTATATAGTTAAAATTATCTTGCTTTGCATATGAAAAGTGCATTTATCCCAGCAAAACTTACACATCAACGAAGTTCATCTCTGAAGAGCACTGGGAGGAATCCAACGTCGATGCTGGAAAAAAGAAAAACAAACTCATGAAAAATGTTCTCAGCTGCAAGCAGGCAGGCGAGCATTGCTACCTGAGGATGTTTCTATTCAAGTTAGAATTGCAGGCTTTAGAACTGGGAAGATATTAGGGGTAACCTGTCCAAACATATTAATGTATACTTGAGAAAACTAAATAATAAAAATATAAGCATTATTTACATTTGACCTGTTGCTAAATTCTACATTGCGTTGTTTCCAGTTGTTCCATTTCCCTCTGTACTTTAATATTCAAATGGGCTTGGAAATCAAATGGATAAAAATATATTTCAGGCAC